CCTTCACTTGGCTTCCAGCTGCTGGGCCAGCACAGTGCAGGTCTTTGGTGGTGCAGGTCCTACAAGACACCAGCCAGGTCTCTCCAGGTGTCCCAAATACCCTGTGGCACCCAGAATGTCACTACACGTTTATGTCCCAGTACCTGAATTGCAGTCTTTTTGTAACTCTGAACGCCTAGCAGTACATGGGGCAAGAACAATAAAGCCATGGCAGCTTTTTAAGTGGTTCTCATGAGTTTTCCATTGCCAGCGTGATTTTGCTGTTGATTAGAAGTGCAAGAGATTTCTCAAGAAGATAAGGAAGTAACGGGCTTTAAAAGGCAAATATGGGCAAAGTAAAACTACGTGCTATTTCAGAGGTGTAGGTAAAGCGTGCCTGCAAAAGGGGACAAGAAAAGGCATTGCGATATAAACATTGGACAGAGACTCTGGAGGTTCGAGTGCTGATGCCCCGTGGTCTGCCACGGACTCTGTGCTGCAGCACATCCCTTAACTCTCGGGAGGTATCTGCCTAGCACTTGTAATTTTGTCTCTTCTGGTGGAATAAAGGGCTTATTAGCTTGGTCTCAGCAGCACGCTAATGCCGTCACACTGGCTCTGGACAAGAGCAGGCACGCACATTGCCAAGTCACAGGGTAGGCATCTGCCTGGAGATGGCCACGGGGCTAGACTCGCGCAGCTGGCAAGACCGCAGAGACGCCGGGGAACAGCTCCATCACCAAGGCGAAATAAATCCACCGCACCAAAAGGTCACCCTGCAAAAGCGGACACTCTGCGGTGACCTTCAGTCAGGTGATACCTCATGTCAGCCGCATCGAACAATGAGCAGAAATGGCACAACTATGCTTGCACGCTTGCCAGGATTTCCTGCCCATCAGCACTTGTCGCGTACTTAACTGTATACTAATAAACCTGCCTTTCACCACTTTCTCCTAAATACTGGCACAAATGATCCTGATGCATCCATTTTTAGTAAATGAAATTAATTAGTTGCACATGATCCTTTTCTATTTAATCTCTCGCAGAAAATGGGAAAAATTATTTCTGAAAAGTACGTTACATCCAAAATTAATTTAATTTCATTGACAGGCTGTTAGTATAAATAGCATTGTTATAGATTGTGCTATAGTCAAAATAATATTTTGCAGTAAGAATTATTAAAGCAGCTGAGCTCGGTGGAACAAAAAAGGCCAAAATTCCTAGCACACAGGCCCAGGAAAGGCTTATGCCTTTTGCCCAGAAAACCTGACCCCATCAGCCGGTCTGGTAAAAGTACTTCTTCCTCCTTCTTCCTTCATTGCTTCTTTGATATTCTTCGACTATCGTGGCAGCAACATTATTGCAAATTATTATTATGATAAAATTATGCGATTTATACTTTTTCCTTTAATAACATTTCAGAATCCATTCAGTATACTTAAGTGGTGAATGCTGTTTAGAAGTGGATAAATACTGATTTACATTTCTAAGTGTCTTTTAACAGAGAGTCAGTGTGAAAATCTGTAGGGAGTGGGAGATGGCTCGGGGGATGGAGGGAATAATCATGTCACATTTAAGCCTGTATGATCTGTTTCCACAGAAAAAGGTTAGAGATCAACAAATTCTCAGTTTAGTTCAGTAATAAATGAAGGTTGGCTAGGGTCTTAAGTTTCTGGGGGGAAGCATTAGCCAATACGTACAGCAGCAGCCTCTGGTGGTCTAAGAAAAAATGGTAGTATCAGTAAGGACAGAAATATGTTTTTTAAAAGGATGTATGTACATATTTAGCTATTTGACTCAAATCCTCCATTCAACACATTAAAAACCAGATGCTTTTAAAATGATCTGCTGGCAATATGCTTGTTAAAATCTGAACAGTAAGAGTATTAAAATTCTTATGCATTCATTAGCATGTTACATAAAAGTAAAATGCTTTTGTTTAATCATTCCATAAAGTATTATAGTCAATGCAGATTATCAATACGTTTTTTCCCTGGTTTATATCGACAAAAAAGAAACTAAATTTATAAGATTGTTACTGACATTTTCTGTCTTCACTCGTGAATTCAGTTGGCAGATGTTTTCAAGAACAAAAAATTCTGTCTTATTACAAAACACATTAAGCAGGTTTTTCTGCCACAATGTTTGACATGATGTTTATTGCCCAGACCAAATCAGTCCCTTTAACAAGCTATAATGTATGCCAGAAAGTCCATTATTTCATAGTTAAGGAAACTTCCAGCATGAAACAATAAGCACTTTGATCTTTCAAGCACTACACTTAATGCACTACACACTCCCACAGCCATTTTTATTTGTACTCATTTTGTATAAAAATACAGTCCGATTTGACATTTTGTAGTTTAAGACTCTGCCATTGCATATTCTTGACTATCCCAGCCATTTGATTTTTTTCCTATGAACATGAAGAAAATACTTAAATTTCCCATGGACAAGTTCAGTTTTTCCAATTCTTGGAAAATCTAACTGCACAAGTGGGAGCATCATCCAGACAGATTTAATTTGTTCAAATGGCATTTCCTCATCAGATCACAACAGATCTCAATGACCTTATAAGAACATAACTGAGGATGTTTATTCCTACTACTTAACAGTCTGAAACAATTTCCCCAGCATATTTGACACAAACAAATTTTCCCTCAACGTGAGGATATTTTTCTTCTAGTCTCTCTCTACCAGTTTTCTCTGCTCGGCAAAGATGACTTAAGGCTTGCTCAGGTTTGTCAAAACTCCTTGATGAGATCATTATGAAGCATATACCATCCTTAAATACTTCTGTGGAGTGACAATATGTTTTATTTCAAGAGCCCAGTGACTCAAATCTGTGCTATACTACACAGTAAGTAAAGGCCTTATCTAAATTGCCCTTGGAGATTAACCCAAACCAGCCCCAACACCGCACCCCTCAGCAGCCCGTGGTTGCAGTAAGCCTGGCAGCAAGTCCCAGGGTGCAAACAAACTAACAGCGATTCTTGCAGCACACGGGATCCTACGGACCCAAGGGCGGCAGGAAAGAAATCCATTGCGAATATGGTGTTGCACCATTTTGTTTGCATCGTGCGATGCCTGGACAGACTGACGACCGTGTCTGTGGCCAGGAAGGTGGAGCAGAGCACGCTATGTTCACCGCTCGTCTTGCAGCCACCTACAGACTTAGTAGCTCTGCCCAACAGAGTAAATGGCATTCTATCGGCGCTCCAGTTTTGTTTCAGAAACCGATAGGCAAGTAAATTGCAGTAATTCGTCCTGCCACACACCAAAGCAGGGACATTTTTCATTCTGTTTCAAAAAACTGTCTGTACTAGAGCCTATCAAAGAAACAAACCCCAAAGAATTCTTTCAGAATAAAACACCAAGCACATCACAAAACCCATTTGCAGTTAATTTGTCCAGGAAAGGAGACTACCACCCACACTTTCACTAAAACTTATGTTACTTCTTTCCTTGGTTTGAAGAAAATCAAATAAAGGGAACGTCAACAGTCATATATGAAGCACAGAGCTGCGTAAAAAAGGAAATGGGATTGACTCATGCTTTTTATGCTTTGGGGGTCAAACCTCCTGAAGCCAAATTTCATGCCTCATCAAGCAAAAGAGCCACAAGAAGGTGGAAACGCTAAAAAGGTATCAAATAAAGGTTCACTTTCAACAAGGGACACTGGATCAGAATGCTGACTAAATGCCTTTCTGGACAATACAGCAACATCGTCCACTGGCTTCTGATAGACCCTGAGACAAGCCTGGTCGCCCCGCTTTTGGAGCAGGCTCTAGCTGGTGAGCAGAATGGCATCTCTCATAAAAAGCAGCAGATAGAAAAACTACTGCCCTGTTGAATATGTATATGTATCCTTTTGTTTCCCACACTCAATAGTGAGATAGTTCTCAAAAGACACAGTAATATTTATGGCATCAGTGATAAACCTCGCATCCAGGTTACAAACCCTTTTAACTTGTAACCACTACAGCTGTATTCCTCCTACAAACATTGTTATGGAATTAATAGGAATACGTTAAAATTTAAGATGATTCTAGCATGTCTTTTGCTGGATTATTCTCTGTTTTGCACCAGAAAGGCATATACATTTTTACTGTTTTAACTACACTGTTGCGTTTCTGATATGTTTTACTGTTGAATGAAAATGCTAACTTTTACAATAAGGACTCTGGAAATTGCCTGACTCAGTCTTGAATTTATAATGCATAGTATGTATATGAAGCAGAATGTGTCGAAGTGCAAATAATATTGTTTGTGCCCCCTGCAGAATTAGAAATCCTCGGGTAGCACTGTTATAACGATCCCATGCTGGTAGCATTACAAAGTGCAAAGGTTCACTGAGTAAGAAAAGAGCAAGGGACAGAGTTTCCTGATTACACCATTCTTGAACTATTCTAGCTTAAATATTTATTAAGATATTAATAACTCTCCTCCTTTATCTGCCTTCAGAAGTTCAGCTGAAACACAATGGATGGCTGCTCATATGAAAACAATACATTATAGAGTAAATCTGCTACCTCAAGAAGATGAACACCGGTATTTTCCGCAATACATTATTAATTCAGCAGGTAATATGTTAAAAAACTATCAGGCTATAACTACCGCCTCTTCAGTATAAGACAATACAATACAATAAATGCATGCATGACATATGAAGCTAATATGTTGCCTAAGCTGCACTAGAAAGTGTTTCTTATGCACACCTCTGTTTATAAAATCATTTTAACAAAGACTTCCTTAAATCATTCTCTTCCTTGATAGCACCAGTGAGTTCCTCTGGGGTTCATTTGAAGCTCCCCTTTGAAATTAGAAAGGAATGTTTTGTAACTCTTTCAAAACTTCACATTCAATAAATGACAAAAAATATCAATAGCATAAAGACCCAGGAACACTGTACGAGCTCTTGAATGTTTTTAAAAAAGCATGCTGTTTATCAGCCAATATGGACAGTAAACACACCTATACATCATTAGAGAAAGGCAAACAAAACAAAACAAAAAACTTACTCTAATATACATCTGCATAGTCTCTTTTTCTTTTTGTGGATTTCGATACTTTTCATAGAAGTCACGTCGCTTCTTTGTTTCCTTCTGGACTTTTTCTTTTCTTTCCCTCTTTTCTGCAGGTTCATCTGAGCTATCAGAAGACAGCTGTACTTGGGCTTTTGTCTTCTCCACTTCAATATAGTTCTCATTGGGATTCAGTACTATTACTCCATAGCCTTCCTGTTTTAGAAGAGACACACACACGCACAAAAAAGAAGAAATATGAAAAGGGAGATTTAATGCTTGAAAATGCTTTGTGCTTACTTTAATGCTATTAAAAACTTTTATATTTATTTCAGCAAGTTCATACAACATAATTTATAGAAGGGTATTTTAAGAGTATTCTGCTTGTTTCATTTCTGTCATTAAAAGGGATGTTGATGTGTGAACATGTCTATGTGTGCACTTATGCTCATACACATCTCTCAGCGTCAGAAAAGTTGCTTGTTTTACCTTTAAAATAATTCAGTATGTGATTTTATTCATAAGCACTTTATATACTTTTCCAGAAAACAGTACGAGAACTAAAAGCAAAATATTATTTTAAGAACTCTGGCTAATGATGAATAAAAAGCTTTATACTCAGCCAATAAAAACCTTCAAAAAAAAGTATGGAGGGATTTCATATATATTTCATAATACATACACATATATATTAAAGAAAGCATGTGAAAATTATTCACCGCAGTTTAAAACAGTAAAACCTTTTGTCTAGCTGACAACAAGCATATCCTGCAGAAGCCAATAGCGGCAGTAACAATGAATCAATACCAAAACTGATTCGGTGGTATTGCTTACAAGCCAACTCTTTTACTGTGGGGATGACTTTTAAGTACATCTTTAAATCTACTCTAAAACTTCACTGGGATTATGTCCTGTATTCAACAAACCCAGAGAAAATTTGTGACCTGCAGGATGCTTTTGAGCATACCAGCTGCATTTTTGTGGCTCAGAAAATGAGCCAGTTGAAAAATACATGAATTTATGAATGAGAAATAAATCTTGAATAAATCAGCCAATCATTTTATTATGATTTTTAAATGATGGCAAATCACACAAGAATTGTAATATTCGCGGAAGATATAATCGCAAACCCAGGGAGAAAAGAGAAGCACGTGCATTGAACAGATGAGTCCTTAAAGTTACCATGGGCTACCCAGTCAAAATCAAGCTGTCCTTTAAAGGTAAATTTTAATAAAGTCTTACTTTTTGGAAACGTCTATATTAATTACCTAACTGAACAGCTTTATTCCAGCTGTTCACTTGGTGCTTCGTTGTGCACTTGGGCTAGGCACGAGGATCAAAGAGGTCCCCATACCTAGCTGGTCAGAGCAAACCAAGCCCACACCAACAAAAGATACTTTATTTGGGCTCGCTTTATTCTAATCTGTAGAGCCATTCACAAACCTTGTAGCGCATTGTGGCCACTGTCAGGTAGACAGATTGTCACTCGGTGATTTTCTACAGTTGGACACACTCGACTAGTTATCAAAATCGCATCTGAAGGGAGTTCCTACCCCTCGTCCTTGTGCCCTTCTCAAACGTCTGCCGCAGCTTCTCCTCCCACCAAAAACCAAGTTAAAGGGCACGGTTGCACTCTGCTAAACAGGGTGAAATAAAGGCATTCAGGACACAGTCTCTGGCGTAAGGGATGTAGTCAAAAAAGGTCACCATAGGCCAAAGAGAAAATTGCCTCCTCGCTTGACGCAGTGCCATGAGTAAGTGGTCTCCTGTCATGTCACTCCCCTGCCCTCCCTGCTGAGTGAACTGAACTGGGACAAATACAAACAAACAGGCAAGTAAATAAATAAACAAAAGAGGGAGGGGCAAAGGAAAACAGAAAATTAAAGAAGACAAAGTTTAAAATCTACCCACGCCACTGTTGGCCGTGTTAACGCCCAATGGTGTACTGTTAGCACATAGAATTTCTGACCTGGAAAATTCAAAGCCCAAAATCCATCACAGGGGAGAATACCACTTAGAAACTTCCCTAAATCACACGCCTCAGATGAATGGATGTTTTTTGAGCTTGCTAAGTGGCAGGGTAGGACCAAGTTTTTGCAGTGCTTGGCAGGCTGCTGGTTTTGGGGCTCTCTGTGCTGTTTGTCTTCTTAACCCGCCTGTTTTGAGCAGAGACATTTTCCGTATCGATTTCGTTTTGCTTTCTATATAATGTCAAATGCAAAATTCATGTGTTTATTACAGGTCTACAAGTGTTACAGGGATTTGAAAACTCTGTGTCTACTTTAAGCTGACCACAAAACAGACACATAAATCATCAAAGAAGTAGAATTTGTCTAAGTTATTGATTATGTAACTGAAAATTACATGACTCATTTGTCCAATTTTATGAGGACACAATGTCAATTTTTCACATAGACATCCACAGATGAAATATGATTCCATTTTTAAATTCACTATTTCATAAATCAATTAAAGGATTTTTATCAATTATATTTTAAGCGGTGTAACATGTGTCCCTTTACTTTTTTTTTTTAATTTCTCCCAGATAGCAGACCTTTCCTGTCAGTACAATTAAAACAATTAAGTTACAACTGAGATTATTTTTCTTCTCAATTATGGGAAAACCTATCTTACAACTCATAATACTTTCTCTTAGGAAAGCAACATCTTTTTAGATTGTTCTCCTTACATGATGCAGTGTATTTCCCTTTCCCTTGTACTTCTGCATCCTAATTTTCAAGATGTAAACAATAGCACCAGAAAGAAGATTTAAAAGTAATATGTATAAAACAACATAGAAAAACAAAATGACTGGTGAAATTGTGCCCCATTACAACGTCTCTCATTCAGCCTTAGCCCAAGCATTCTCTACTGAAGAGGAATACTCAGGTCTAGATAATTTCTATGTAAACTTTTAAGTTCAATTAAATTTTAAAAAATATACTTCCGTGGGTGTAGCTGCACCATTAGAGTTCGATGCAATCAGAGAATGAAAAAAATAGGCAGAACTCCTCACTGACGCAGAGGGGTTGAGCAAAGTGCAAGTCAGTGCAAAACTGAGCACACAAGACCACTAGTATCTAAAAAAAGGCCTTAAGCAAACTTCAATAAATATGCAAGATACAGTGTCTTTGGCATGACTGTTAGGCATTAAGATAAAATCACATTCACTAAAAAGTATGTTTTTAAATGGAAATCATGTTCAGTACATACCTCACAATGTCATTAAAAATATCAATTTCAGCTATGATGAGCTTACGGCATTATTAAAATGTAGTGACCTACGACGTAAGCAAGTACCATTATCCAGGAGAGTTTTTAAAGCTTGCCACAGAATCACAGAATGCTAGGGGTTAGAAGGGGCCACCATCACTAAAAACTAGTACATAGGACTGGAGTAGTTTTCTCCTGTGTGTCCAGTGCACACAGAAAAGAGAAAACACTCTCTAAAGTGCAAAGTTTTTTCACGGTAAAAAGCTAAACTTTGGGACAACACTCCCCAGCCCAAGCCCCTCCCCCATCAATCTTCAGTTGACTGAAACAAGCCAAGCCCCATGCTCTACCACATGCCTGGGAGAATACAGATGTCGCACAGAAGCTGAGGTCTGCCTGCATCCCCCATTTGTGTATCTGTGATGAGACGCAATAATCAGGACAGACACTGACAAAGACAAGCCCCAGCCCCTAATCCACGAGTTCAGTACAATTACAGGTTTACCCTCTGACTAAAACACCCAATTAACAGCTACTTCCCCAAATTCTAATGCTTCAAAGTAAGTAAAACGTAACCTATGCTTACTACGAGCGTCCTCCAGGAAACGGCTTCTAGAGGTAGAGGACTGTGTGCAAGCTCCACCTTCAGGTTCATAAATACAAACACAATTAATACTTATGATTGAGCCAGCAAATGATGATGAAGGAGAAGCAGGTAGACAACATCAAGTGTTGGAAAGACTGAACCGTGGTTACTATACCTTTACTACAAAGCCACGACAATGGAAAAGGGCCTTTTCCACCGTAATAGACAAGCCAGAAACGGGAGCGGTACTTTCTGCCTCTTACAGGAAGTTCAAGCGAGATATTCGAAACAGAAGGGATGCCAAAATTATTGCCTCTGACAGCAAGAGCAAGGTTAAAAACCCAGAACCCTGAAGTATTTGAGGTAAATTCCAAATCTTTTGAAATCTCTTCTGCCTGGCCACATGAATAATGAGCTGAAAGCATTCAGCTCTGCATATTAATCCACCAAGATGGGACACCATATGTGACCAGAAAGGTCAGGGCTGGAGAGGAATCTTTTGACCTATGTAACTATCTTTTTGGACTGCGAGCGAAGGTCTGAAAGAGATCATTTTCCTAAGCTTTATCATCCCAAATTTTCAAGTTTGGGTTTCTATTTGGATCACTGGCAACAAGACCGGAGTTAATTCCCAGGGGAAATGCAACTGAAAGTGCTCAGCTCTTAATTCTGTCCATGGTTAAAACGGCACAACCATGTCAATTCATCTTTCTGAAGGAGGTATGTTCTGCTCATTTCCCATCTTTTCGAGAAGAAGGGTACATCTATGTCACTGTTGCGACATCATAGGTGCAACAGTGGGACGAGGTCAAGACAACCAATCAGAAGTCACTAGTGAAGCGTTAAAGTAAACATAGCTGCTGGAGATGCAGCTTAGCTTGAAAAATGCCCCCTCCATTATTTGAGTAATTTTCTCAAGACGTGACCTGAGACCGAAATGCCTGAAATGTCAGTTGACTCCGCTTTCTGTTTCCACCCAATGTACATTTTGGCAACTGCACCCTGCTAACACTTTGCAATATTTCCATCCCGGCTACACCTCGCCTGCCTGAATTCCAGCACTGTGTCCAAGTGTGTAAAAATGCCGTGTTACTGCCAAACACACATTGTCCCACGAAGTTCCCAACTTAAAAATAGCTCATCAAGCTAGGCAGGAAAAGAAAACATGCCACAAAAAGTTTTTAGAGGACCACCTGTTGTCTATTATTTTTACATAGCACTTACTCATAAATCATAACACAGGGTAATTAATCAAGCTGTCAAAGAGAAGGTCAAAGGTTATGTGGGGGAGTCAGAAGGTCATGCATGGGCTGATAGAGGTCAGGGTCACACCGCATTCCTCATTATCAAGTTGGGATGAGAGACGGCCCAAGCAAACAAAAGTGAAAGCAGATGGAGAAGTGAGTGGATAAAAAAA